TCTGGGATTCATGCCTCCTCAATGGGCTCTGGTATATTATAAACAAATCTAAAAAATCTCAAGCATAATAACGAAACCCTGGATTCGAAAATGAAAACTGATGAAACGGACAACTCGCAGATGAATCGGAATGGAGGACTATGACGAGCTTCAAAGTTGGACTAGCACGTAATCCAGTCCAGTCCAATGAAAGCTAGTGAGGGCAAACAAACACACCCTAGATGTACTGGGTCCCTTTGTGCAATATTTCAGATTCTCACAGTTACTGACATTGATATCAAGGTCTTGTTACATATTATATAATTTGCTTCATTAATTTAGTGTTAGGTACTATAAGGTCGACCAAGAGATAATAACTATATATTTGGTGAAGAAGAATATTTGGATGCTCTGCTTTGCGTATGTATAATGAGCATGAACTATGCTGGGCATCCCATGTTAGAAATATTCTGTAATTTTTCATGGGACTTTTACATTTATGTGTCCATGGAGCCATATCGACAACATTGAGCTAGCAAGTCAAGAAAATAAGATCGTAGTACGCAGATGTAGAGCTTTCTTTTGTTCAGATTGATTTCCCACACCTTTGCATTTTGACCTTATTTTCTCATACCTTAGGCGTGCCGTGTACCTATAATCATGTTATTGGTGAGTATTAAAATAGATAATGCTAGGTAGATCAAATTTTTAAAACAAATAATGTGTTACCAATATGAAATAAACACGTTAATTAATACTTGAGTAATAATCTAATCATCACTGTCCACACATGTGGTTTATAAATTTTAGTTTAAAATTTTGATTTCTCTACCATTACCCATATTAAAATACTATACCAAGATCATCTCTGATGTACCTGATATCACTAGCAGTGCACGTGCATGGCATGCACCTCAGTACTTCAAAATAAATAGAATATGCTGAAGTTGCAAAGGTTACTCACTAGGGCATGAGAAATATTGTCTTATCAACATTATATTATAAAAATACCACACTTAAATTATATTTTATAAATCCCATGACAGTTAAAGATTAAATATCTTTTTTAAATATTTTTTTTCATTGAAATATGGTATTCTTGGTTGACAAGAATTACTTTGACATCTCACTTTTTATTTCCTCAAGTTGTAGGTCGAGAGAAGGACATTTCAATCCCTCTGGACTTAACAACAATTCAACTTTTCCAACCAGAAGAAAAAAGAGCACTTCAACACTAACCGAGAAAGGTATTCGTGCACTTATTTTTTATTTTTTATTTTTGTTTTTCATGATATAGATCTTTGCACAATTGGTAAAAGAAAATGCAGGCCTAGAACATATTTGCACAATTGATAACCACACATCATTAATTTTTCTCTCCTACACACCTCTTTTTATTTAAGTCACCGAAATTGAATCGATTAAACGAAAATTATGATTAAAATTAATGATGAGTGTACATGAGAAGAAAATTTGAGTGTGGTTATCATTTTGCTTTAAAAGATGGGCAAATATTAATTATTCCTAACCCTACTTGAGCAGTTTCCTTAACCTGAAATAAAACGTTAAAAAGTGATCTTGGGCCTGGGCTGTCTTTGGGCCCTGGGTGTCGGCATAAATTTTGGAGGACAAACTAATTGGGTGCACCTGTAATCTGAGGTTGGTCCAACCCTACAACAAAGAATCCAAACTAGAAAAGAACATAAATGCCTACACCATGCGCAAAAGCCTAAATATGATGTGTGATTATTTAGTGAGAAACAAAAAATGGGAAAATGTTGTAGATGTTGCTTTAGCTAAATTGTGTCTAAAGAGACATTTTCGTAGCTTTTGGAGGAGCCTTCGAGTGTTTATGTCCGATTATTCATGACCACGGCATAAGCCCGCACTCGATCCCAGTTGTTACTTACTTGTTTTAGGCTTTTTCCACTTGTTTGTTTGAAGATTTTGATTTTTGTAAACATATACCGGCCGAACCAAAATTTTGTTGTCCTACTCAAAATGGCATTTCATTTGTGTGGTTAACAGTGTTTGGTTTTTTTTTTCTTTTTGTTTTTGGGGAGGGATGGGGGTGGGGTTTTAATTGATAATCAAGTTTAACGATGATCACAACTTTGACAGAGTGATAAATCATTATACTTCTGTCATGTTAGATGGAATTCCAGTCGTTTATTCAATAATCGCTGGCCAGGAAAAATCTGGCCAAAGTAATGAAATATTTTGACAATTTCTTGACACCCTTGCACGATATGCATTCGTCCGGAACAATCTGCCTAACCTACAACCAATTGGTTATGGCAGGGACGGGTGTGTTCAACAGAACTTGTATGTTCTAGTCAGCTCGGAATTTGATGAGTTTGTGCGAAATGAGTCAAATGACCAATCCCTGTTGTTTGTCTAGGATAACTTAATTTGGACTGTATACTTGACTCAAAATTCCAACTTGGGCTTTGAAATAGGGTTTTGAAGCTCAATCTCTCATGCCCCCAGTTAAGGACAACACTTCTCCTTCCCAGTAAGAAAAAATCCCTCCTTGCCCCTCTATTATCGCCTCATTTAGCGGTACAGATGTTATAATTGAAATGAGATAACTTATCTTTATATCATTACCTAAATATTATTTTTAGAAAAATTCTTCGATTTGAAAACCGTTTCGTCATTCATGCATGTCAAACAAATTGACAATTAATTCATCATAAGAATGCTATTTTGAGTGTTTGACAAATATAAATGACTAAACACACTCAAAATTGAATGAATTTTCTTGAGAGATTATCTTTAGATGAGGATAAAAAAAAATGAACAATTTTAATTATAACGTTTGTGTGATAAAAGTAATGTCACATTAAACGGCAAGGAGGACTTTCACCTTACTGAGACTTAGGGAAGGGACAATACTTGGGTACAGGTTAGGCAGTACTCAATTTACTCACCTTATTAAGTAACAGTTTGGTACTGCTTAATTTTTAAAAAAAGCACTTAGTTTTTTTGTGAAAAAAATAAAAGCTAAAAAGGCAAAGCCTTTGGAAAACTAGCTTTTTATCACAATACACGGGTGAACAGTGCCATTAAATGAATTTTTCAAAATGGCAACCTTACCCTCTCTTTCTCCTTCATCCCAGTTCTAGACTCCACCCCCTTTCTCCAGTCTCTCTCCGACTCGTGCTACCTAGATTCACCACCCCATCCCCTCCATCTTTTCTTACTCCCCAAATTCACCACCCCCATCTCTCTCCCAATCCCCACCAAATACACCCATTGCCACCTCGCAGACCATGATCCCAACCCACTCCCTGCTAGATGATAACCTAGATCCCACCCACCCATTTACCACCGCACCTTCCAAAACATGTAATGCCCTGGAAATCGAAATTCCGGAAATAGAAATGGGAGAGAGGATGAAGGTTCCAGATCGCAGGAACTGAAAGAGAAATGCGAAGGGACTAAGGTGGGTGAGGACTTTGAAATTTCAAAAGGGATCATTGATGTATAATGGAAGAAAAGCCAGAAATATTTTGGCATAACGAAATATAAAGAAAAAAGAATGAAAAAGCTAGAAACAAAGGGAAACAAAGAAGAAAGGAAACAGGAAACAATCATAAACTTTTTTGCAGGGAGAAAAAGAAAGGAAGAAAAGCCCATAAGTTTTGTTTTGTTCCTTTTTTTGTCATTTTACACAATCACAACATTTTTCATAAATATTTACCAAACACTACAACAATGCTTTTTTTTTATATTAAAAGCACTTTTACAATTATCGTTACCAAACACTTTACTGCTTTATTTCACAACTGCTTATTTTTACAGCACAACAGAAACAGTTTTTGTTCAAAACACAACAATACCAAACTAACCTAAGTAGGCCAATAAAAATTCTACAACGCACTTGTTATATTGGTAACCAAACACCCTGTCACATTAACCCATAAACCAAACACTCATCTTCTTCTTCCTAGACGCAGACATTCCACGTTCCACACACTTTCAAGTAGCCTCACCAGTCACCACCCACTACCCACTCCCCACTCCCATCTCTCCTCCAACCTCTGTCCTCCATCGATCACACCCCACACTCCACTCCATCCTCCAATTGTCAAGCCACCCCAGACCTCCGATATCTCTTCTCCATCGTCACCCTTCCTCTGCAACACTGATAAAAACCTATAAATCCGACCAAATAGGTGTGGTAATAATCCATTTTGATGTGATTTTTCAGACTCTAATCTCTTAGTTGCGGTCAAAATTTAACCTTTTTTTTCCCGCAACATGTCAAAATTTAACTTTAAAAGCATAAAAAATCATTAATTCTCAGTAAAGATTCAAATGATATTGATTATGAAGCATGTGTTGATGACGAGGAGCGAGATGCGTAGAGGAGGGGATGGGGCTGACGGCAACCATGACAGATTTGCCATGGTAACCCAGAAAGGGGTGGAAGATGATGGCGTTTGGTTATAGGTTTAAAGGGAAGAAGATGGTGTTTGGTTGTAGGTTTGTGTTAAATTTTTTTTTTTACAGGTGTTGTGATTTTAGTGGGCCAACTAAGAGGGTGAGTAAATTGGATACTGACAAGGCAGTACCCAAGCATTGATTGGGTTTACTTGAACCCATGATGCAACAAGTCATACAAAGAAAAGTTGGTTACTATATATTGGTGTGAATTGTGAAAATCCCATTTGATAAATACCATAGAGAGATTTTTCAGTGTGACGGAAACACAAAGTGGTACATCATATATCACTATACAAATAGTGAGATATGTGTGTTAAAAAATTAATAATTTAAAAAATAAAATTTTCTACCACTTACATAAAAATAAGTGATATATCACTAATCTTCCCGTCACAATTAAAATTTTTTTATTACCACAAAGGTCAACTCCTCCCTCCTCTGTAACTTTTATTTTTCTTTGCACGTTCTCTGTTATCTCTCTCCATCTCCCTATTTCTTTCCCCATTTCTCACCCCTTGGTTTTATGTCGAGATTCTGTTTTTTTTTTTTAACTTCCTTCACTCTCTCTCTGCCCCACACTAAGATACTGCATTATGGGTTCACCTTTTTCCTCATTCTTTTAATCCTCTCTTTCAGTTATATATAAATCTCTCTTTTTAGAATCAAAAGGCCAGGCAGCAAATATCAGGCAGCTGCCCTCTCTGTCATGGAGAAGTCTAGCGATTCATCTCTGCTCAAAGCTGTTCCTTCAAAAGAAACCACATACTCATGCACTGAGGAGGAGAGTGGTTGGACTGCTTACTTTGAAGACTTCTCAAACAACAATAATAACAGAAGAGAAGAAGAAGGAGGAGGAGGACGAGGAGGAGCTCAAAGTTTTGGCTGCACCTCTTCTTTGGTTTCTGATGCTGCTTCTGGTGCTGCATGGAAATTAGTTTCCCACAACAATCAAAACCATGCAGGCTCTATTGGGGTCCCACCCAATAACATTTCCAAGAAATTAAGCTTCAAGAAAACAAGAACCAAAAAGATTTCTGGTGATGATTTGGAGGACACTGCTAGTTCTCCGGTTAATAGTCCCAAGGTCCTTCTTTATTTAGATCCACACATACAAATTAATTGTTCCCTTTTTCTTTTCTTTTTTCAATTTCTGTTAGTTTGTGGGAATTGACTTTTCTTTTGCGGTCGTTATTATTTTAATAGATTGGTGATTCGAGACCAGTTGGTATAAACCCAGATAGAGATAGATGATCTTCTTACGAGTATGAATTCTTTGGTACTATTCTTTTTCTTTTCCTTATTATTTCTTCTATTAGTACTCTCTTGAAAAGAGATTAATTATTTGATTAATTATGATCATTTTGTTTGGTCCTGATGGTTTTGTAGGGTAAGGAGGAGACTACTGTAGGACATTTTGCAGAGATGGAACAGGCAGATGATGAAAAAACTAGTGATTGTACGGGCTTAAAGAAAAAAGGGTTGTGCTCCATGTCCTTGTTGGTGAACTATCTTGGTTAATTTTACATTTTTCAAAGAAGAATCTCTATTTCAACCTCTCTGCTAGTTGCAGATGCTTTCTTTGTCTTCCATAACTTACTGTGTAAAGGAAATATCTGTCCATATAGTGTATATATAGTTCTTGTAAAATATGTGATCATTCCCTCTCTCTCTCTCTCTCTCTCTCTCTCTCTCTCTCTCTCTCTCTATATATATATATATATATATGTGTGTGTGTGTGTGTGTGTGTGTGTGTGTGTGTGTATACCTTTCATTTCTTCTATAGTCCAGATTTTTGCCAGATCAATCTTCCATCATGTATACTAACATGAACTATATTATATGGGTTTGTTATTTCACGATATATAGTACTAAACTAGCTAATTTATGTATAGATAAATCTTACCATAGTAAATAACTGGAAAATATTCTTTTGCTAGTATTATATTGCTTGAATAAACCTAACGACTGTTGTGTACTTTCCTAAATGCGTGTTCTATAAATATTCAAGTCTAATTAACATAAGCGTTTATCTAGCAATATAAATAGTTTTACTAATGGATTTGAAGTTACATGAAGTAGCTAAGACTAGTAAACAATTTTATCAATTAACTTGGACGCAATGTCTTAGACTGGAGATCTTCATTTGATGCCACAACGTGTCTTAATATCAAGCAAGCCAAATTATATAACGTAAATCGTGTTCTTTTTTGGAAGCTTTCCTCAAAAGTAACCCCAAAATTCAGCAGTTTAATAAGGGAATTGTTATTAGTACTCCAAAAATCTAAATTTGTACTCCAAACTTACTATAATTAGAAAGAAAAAAATACCCTTGTAAGGAGTGTACAGTAAAATTTTTGAACTGCTAATAACAGTTCCCTTTAATAAAATAAAAAAAAAGTAATGAAAGTAGCACATGAAAGTGATTGTGGTTAATTAACAGAGTCATCAAACAAGGCCGGCCTTTTGCGCCCCCCTTGCTACATTTCTTCTCATCGACTTATCCACTGATCCCATGTATGAATATAAATACCAAATAAGATTTTTTTTTCATTGTTACAAACGACATTACTATTCTAAGTTATATTGAGAAAAAAAATGTTAAAACTTAGGACGTAGTAAATTAAAACACAATGTCCTATTAACCAACCAAAACGATACATATGACTTGCAAATAAAATATGATAAAATTTATGTAATTCTTATTCTACAGATTCTAATAGGGTATTATATTTGGTGACTACTAATAATTGATACATGATATATTAATATATATGCAAAGGGCATGAGAATATCGCAACAACTAAATCCTAAAGGATGCAAGTTCCTTGTACGTCCGAAATAACATTAAAAATAGCTAGAAATAGTTATAAAAGGGGGAAAAAGTAGATTGATAGGTTTATTTATTAATTCAGCTCCAAACTCTTGCAGGCCATTCATGTATAAAAAAAACTCAGAAACGGCTGCAATACAAGACCCCTCCATGTGCACGGAGCACTAAAAGCAGGTGAGACGGCATTCATAATTTAGTCTGCTGCTGCCCTTTGACTCTTTCATATTCTATAATATTCCTCTTCTAAACCTTTCGATCAGATTCTTCTCTGCATAATTAAAGACTAAGATGCTACCTATATATGTGCCTCCTGTGTTTTTGGCTAAAGGGTATCTGAATGAAACCTCATTGATATGCATGGTCGATTTATTCTTTGAATATCTAAGGTTTTAAGAATTCGCTAGTGATTGTCTCTTTTTTTTATTGTCTAATATGGCGTTAGGAATTTTTTGCGAGGAATTCTAATTTTAGTGTGGATGAAACTTAGGTACCGTTTGGTACATAAACGGGATGGAACGAGATGGAATGGGACGGGACGGAACAAAGATTTCGTGTCATGTTTGGTACTAGCAAGATGGAACAGAACGGAACGGGATTAAATGACTAACTTACCCTTTTTATTTGACTCTCCCTCTCTCTCCCGTTTCTCTGTTTTCTCTTCTTCCATACGTTTCATGTTCTTCGCATGCCCAGATTGATCCCAGTAAAAATCAATCTCAGTAAATCAAACTCATACTTTCTCTTCATTTCATTTTCTTTCTCTTCAATTCAAACCCATAATTCTCTTTTTTTTAATTTCTTTCTCTTCAAACCAGACACAGAAAAATCCCAAATTATTATTTTAGGGAAAAACTAATGAAATCTCGAAAGTTCGTATTCAAACAACCACTTTTACTATAAAACTTACAAAATTAAACTAAAAAAGGTGAAATTGAACAAAATGCCCCATTCTTAGCCTCCACCGGATGCTCCTCATCGATGTGGTAGCAAAACCCAACAACATCAAAATCCTCGGCGCAAAAAGGGCACAAAAACTCGGCCTTTAACTCATCGTCTCCGTCAGTCTCTTCGTGTAAAAGCAGATCTGCACGACACAAACCGCGATCATTAGCACCAAAAACCACCCATAAAAAATCAAGAAAATCATCAACAAACAATGAACACCGCCAGAGGCAATTTGGAAAAACTCACCGGATCGCGATTGGTACCGCCTCGACGAGGAGGTCGAAAAGAGACTGCTCCACAAATTATCAGAGTCCATTTTCTATGCAGTACAAAATCAAATCACGGCGACTAAGTTTCAATTTACAGAGGTTTCGTTGGAGTGTCGGAGAAGAAGGTGGAGCGTGGAGGTGACGGCGTCGGAGAAGAAGGTAGAGCGCGAAGGGACTGAACCGGCGGCCATGGTTTGGGTTCAGATGGGTTTTTTGCGATCGAATTCGAAGAGAGGAAGGCTACGGGAGAGAGAGGAAGGGTAGACAGTGGAATTAATGAAAAAGATGAGGGGTATTGTTGTCCAAAAAATTATAAATTTGTGTTCCACGAGATGGAACAACCCGTTCTAGGGGGTATGTGGAACCAAAATTTAACCCATTTTCGTTCCGTGGGACAGGCGTTCCACACAATTTAAGCGCACCAAACGTGGGACGGAACGCATCCGTCCCACTTTGTTCCGTCCCGTTCCACGTACCAAATGCACCCTTAATGCATATGTATTATCATCTCATTCTTTGACTACTTAAAATGCGGGACCGTTAACGAATTATGTGTTATACGGTGGGTATGATCGAAAGTATATTTCTTTTTTGTTTTCTCATCAACCAAACAAGGCATTATTAAAACACAAGAATGTCAAAAGTGGGTATTAATGGACACTTTTGTTGCGAGTTGATGGAGTGTGGAGAGTTTGTTCCACATTGGTGAGGGACAAGTCTAGCTAAGAGCTTATATGATGATCTTAGGCTACTCTTTATATTGTCAATTAGTTTTATGATGGAATCTCAATTTCATCATGGTATCAGAGCAGGTTGTCTCTCGTGTGAAAGTCCAATGGGCCACACGTGCTCACGTGTCACTCACTTGTTGTCCACGTATAGGATTGAAAATCGGCCACACGTGCGGTGGCATGTTGAGAGTTGATGGTGCATGAAGAGTTTGTCCCACATTGGGAAGGGACAAGTCTATCTAAGGACTTATATGATCTTAAGTTACTCTTTATATTGCCAATTAATTTTATATATGGATGTTTGACACTCTAGTCTAGAAAAAGGTTCGTGGTACATATACAACTACTTTTTATAAGTGCTATAACGTACGATAACAATGTTCTTGATGCGCTTGTCAACTTGATCGTAATGGATAATACTTTCTCTACTGACTGCGTAGTACGTACGCACTTGGATCAGTGTTATTTAATTGAACCAGTTTAATTTTCTTTCCCATAATAACAAAATAACTACTATTTCATGCACATAAATTTGATATCGATGTTTTGGATAATTGTAAGACTATCACTGCACGAAAAATGACTAATAAGGCTACATAAAGACAACAGATATATAATGTATTTAAAATGACTAGGGATAGCCACTTAGTACTTCGGCCTAATAATATTCTTCTTCACTTGTAAGTTAGATGTCTTAAGTTCGATTCTTACCAAAGGAGAATTTGAACCACATTATTGCTTGCCCATTGTGAGGATAAGTTCACCCCCTCAATCTTGAAGAAAGTTGGGGTTTCACCATAAAACCAATTGGTAAGGAGAGTAGCTCAACCTCTTATAAGCCCATGCAAAGTCCCTCCTCCATCAATATGGGTCTCATACTCAACACACCTTCTTACGTGTGGTGAATTTTCAAGCCTAACACATGGACAACACAACAAGGTGACATGGAGCACGTGTGGCTGCTTGACTTCACACGTGGGACAACCTGCTTTGATACCATGAAGAATGTTGAGATTCCACTATAAAACCAATTCGCAATATGGGAAGTAGCCCAACCTCTTATAAGCTCATGCAAGGTCCCTCCTCCCATCAATGTGAGACTCATTCTCAACAAATTTTTAGTATAGATAATATTGTTTGTTTCAAAAAAAAAAAAAACTAGGGATATAATGTAATATTTTGAATGACTAGCTAGGTGCGTTGTAAGTACACGATAATATTTAAACAATCTTATCCCTTCTAGGATGGACCTTTAGAAGAAACCATGATTGAACAAAATAATGAGGAAATTTAGAGGTTTTTGTTTTTGGTAGCATGAATGTATTTTGATACAACGTTATCTCTACTATTATAAAGTCAAGCTCTCTGTTTGTTTCATAAACAGTTCAAATCTCATAAACCAATGGCTAACTCAATGGCGAAACCATAATTGAAATTTTCATCTATGAAAGCCCAACTTAAGACCTTATAATTGAAAAAAAATACGCGTGATGCTAGTTAATTAGATTAGCATAAGTACTTATATACTAAGGAGGAGAAAGAACCTTTAAATGTTTAATGAAACCCTAGTATTGGGAACATTATATTATAAGAAAAACTAATGAAAAGGGTTTGAAAACTTTGAGTTTTAATGATAAGGACAAAATAAAGGGTAAAGTGAATAGTACCAGAATTGACTTTTTAGTGTAAAAATGTGGTTTTTCGTTAAAGTGAACAATACCGGGTACTTTTCGTTAAAGTTCCCATTATTATAAGCATGAAATTAATGGCTAAGACATGGTGGCAACACACTATACAAGGACCTTATTTAATAACTGTATCAGTTTTCTTTCAACTCAATATGTGTGGGAATTTTAACAGTTTTGTAAAACAACATGCTATAAGTCAAGGT